ATATACAATATTTTAATGAAAAGTCTAGGCAAATTGAATGCATATTGATTCTAATGAAACCCAGGCTTCTTCGAGATTAAAACAATAAGACCTCAAATAAGAGAAGTACAAATCTCGACAGAGACAGAACTGGAGCTAGTGGTCTTCTGACTCCTAGACCAGTGCTGTTTCTGGCAGAGACATCAGCAAATTGAGTTGGGCTAGTAGACTCAATTTCACAACTGCAGATAGGCATTTCTGAAATAATAAGAAATTTAAACTTACATTCCTATGTGAGCTAAAGCATAATATCAATGTTTGCATTGAAAATGCTTGTTTTCAGAGCACTTATATTCATCCTTCCGTTAAAGTAGACAACCACTGAGTAACAAGGATTATCAAAACTCAAAAAAACAATGAAAGGAACTGGTGCACTTTCATGTCTGATTATTTCACTTTGTGAACCAAGTGCTCTGATCTCCCAGGGAGTTTCTAAGCCAGGGGTATGTCGTGCCTGCAGATGGAAAACTAAGATAGCCATCTCTCCACCTATTTATATACATGTACCAAACATTTAATACTTGCAAAACCAGTTTCGTGGCATTTTGAGGCATGGGATGTGATGCGGGGCCTATGCTACAATATTCTGGTATCCAAGTTTTGATGTCACAGAATATCACACCTGGAAGGGGTCATTTTGTCTAAATTTGCAATTTAGATGAAGGAATTGAGACTCAGAGGTTAAGTGGTTTGCTCATGGTTTTTGAAAAACAAAGCAATCTGAGCCACATAACTATTGATTGCATCTCTGTGGATGAGTGGTTAATTTTGATTCTATTCTACTCACCTCCTGTTCTCATACGACTATCGAATCCCAGTTACTTCCACTTCTGTTTCATTTTAATCTCAAAGTTATGCATCAGGAATAAATAATCTACCTGGGATCCAAAATCCTTCCCAGGTCTTTTACCATTTCTATGAAGATTGTGTGGTGACAGGATAATGACTTTGGTGTCTTAAGGTAACTGTCATTTTTGTTGCTATCCAGAAACACAACTAACAGAGGAAGCACAATTTCTAGAAGTAGGTCAGACAGAGCAGCCTCACAGAAAAATTGGTGACATTGACAAGATTTAGTTAATTTTAACCAGATGTTTATGTTAATAGGTTCCTGTTAAAGGTTTCATTATAGTCATCGTACAAAGAGCTGAAATTATTTAAAACCATTATCCAGAACATTTCAACATATTCTATCATTTCTATATTAGGTGCTAGTCTGTGATAGAAAAAGCCAAAGAGGAATGTTGTTCCAGCACATTAACAATGAGACTATTTTAATCAATCTCTATTCAATTAGCCTAGACTTTTCATTAAAATTTTGCATATTCTCAAGTGTATAATGTTGTACAATATTCACATTTTACATGCATTTCCTATGTGTGCGGTATAATCATATTAAGCAAACAAAACGATTTGTATGGGACTAGAGCACATTTTATTGTTGAGGGGATTTAAGTTCAGAAATTTTAAAGGATTATAGCCAGGTCACAGAGCTAGCTAGCTTGTTTACAGTTGAGATTAGCTCTAAATCTGAGTTATTTTGTTTGTTTCTTATTCCTCCCCAGTTATAGATCCTTCTGTAAGGCTAATTAGCTGCTTTAAGAATCTGATAGACAATGTGTTATTCTAGAAGTGCACAGGATTTGGGAGTTGATAGGCAGAGATCCTCCTGTTGCAGCCCCACCTCTGATAGCCCAGTAACCTAAATAGGATTTACTTAATCTCTCTGAAACTAGTTTCCTCATGTGTTAAATTGGGGTAACACCTGACACATGATATTATAGACAAAGTATGATGTGTGTGAAATGCATAGCACATAGCTGGTGATTAACATGCAGTCCATTCCCCAGTGAAGTTGAGATTATATATTTCCTGAATTACAGGATAGGCCTTTCATTATGGACATACCAGTGAGGGCACCAAGTGTAACAGGCTCATGTCTTGATAGATAAATGAAAAGAACAATGAGGGAAGGATAGAAGGTGAGTAGTCTTTATGGATTCACCTTCTATGACCAGATCAGTTTCCAGTAGGAAAGAAACTGAGGGACAGCGTTATAGAATGGCTAGACGGAAGTCCAGGGTTTAAGGAATCAAGCAGCCATTTCCCTATTATTTGTATAGTCTTATTTGAAAAGAAAATTGTTAATATTGAATGAAGAACTAAAATAATCTTCCCTGGCAAAGTTTTGGTGTCAGAGTGATCAATTTTTTAGAAAAAGTAATTTAATTAAGTCCACACACAGTGATTTTTCAGGTTATATAGTAATCACTGTTTTAAAATGATATGTCTTGAATTTAAGTAATTTGATTTGAAGGTATAAAGTCTTTCATGTACAACTGCAAAAAATAAGTATTTCTTGCACTTGGTAGTATCACATCAGTGTCTGAATAGGGCAAAATAATAATAAGATTTATTTGTAATTACGTCAATATGCCCCTCTCTCCTAAAGGAAGAGAGAGGGAGAAGCTGAAAAGATCAAAATGAATGTTGACACAATCTTTCTTGTTTTACTTAAAATTTCCAAGCAAATCTGATCAAGTATCTAGATTTGTGCTGTCCAAAACCATAGCTAACTGAGTACTGAAAATGTGGCTAGTTCAAATGGAAGTGTGCTGTGAGCATAAAATATACACTGAGTTTTGAAGGCAGTATGGAAAAAAAATGTAAAATATCCCAATAAATATTTAAAAAGTTGGTTATATGCTGAAATATTTTAGATACATGGAATTTAATAAAACATATCATTTAAGGTTTTAAAAAATATATCATTAGCATTAATTTCATTTGGTTATTTTAACTTTTTTATTGTACCTACTAGAGAATTTAAAGTTATACATAGGACTTGCATTATAGTTCTGTTGCATAGTGCTGCTCTAGATACAACTACCAATATACAGAGGGTCATGTTAAAAGTCATGAAAGCAACCTGTAAAATCAGTGAGGAACTCACAGGGCAAACTTGATTTCTTCAACAAACTGTACACAGAAAGAAAGAAGAAAAAAATGAAAAAAAAAAAAAGAGGCAAAGAAGAAAATATAAACTGAGGCTTGAGAGGTCTACTTCAATGGCAGTCTGAGCTCCATGGACCTGCTCCTCAGAACAACCATTAATTAGTGAAAGTTACTTTAAAAAACCTAGCCATTTAAAGTTTCCAGAAATTGGCTGGGCGCAGTGGCTCAGGCCTGTAATCCTAGTACTTTGGGAGACCTCGGTGGGCGGATTGCTTGAGCTCAGAAGTTTGAGACTAGCCTGGCCAACATGGTGAAACCCTATCTCTACTAAAAATATAAAAATTAGCTGGGTGTGGTGGCTGGCGCCTGGGAGGCTGAAGCAGGAGAATCTCTTGAACCTGGGAGGCGGAGGTGACAGTGGGCCGAGATTGCGCCACTGTACTCCAGCCTGGGAGACTGTCTCAAAAATAAATAAATAAAGTCTCCAGAAATTGTTTTAAGGGTATACAGAAAATGAAGAAACATTTATTCAAGAAATTCTAATCTTGGTGGTAAGAACAGTGAGAGTCTGTGGCACTCAAGTCACAAGCTTCTCCTTCTTCCCCAACCCAGCCAGCATGATAGAAACTCCATTCTGGGCAGCTGTGGCAAAGAAGACAGCTTCCTCTCCCGTTAGCTGTCAGCATTTCTCATTGCCTCCAACTCTCTTTTGCAGAGGCTAAATTCCAGGCCAGATGTTGGAATCTCCCTTCCTTCACCAAGACCCTACTCACAGAGCGGAGCCTCTACTCCAAGGATGGTAGGCCAACAATACTGGAGCTCTGGTCGCCACTGCCCCAGCTCACTTGTAGGCTACTGCCTCTGCCTAGTTTGTAAAGCAAAAATAACTGGGCCTTTGTGTTTACCCATGGTTGTGGAACAGTGGCCCAGAGATCTTGACCAGGAGCAAGAGGCAGTCCATAAGAACAGAGTTCTGACATTATTTAAAACATAATGCAGAAGTTTAAGCCTCACAAACAATGGGGATTTGGGTGGTATGCAATTAAGAGGAGGCTGGTAGCCCCATTAGAGCAACAGGCTAAACCATAAATCAGCTAGTTTACCAGAAACAAAAACAGGAAAGACAGTTTTGTCCTCCTGGGATCAGGACAAACCTCAAAGACTGGCCTCAAAAACTAACACTGCATTTTAATGGCAGTGAAAATACTCTGTGTAATACTATACTGATGGATACATATCATTATATGTTGCATAAACCCATAGAATTACACTAAGACTGAACCTTAATTCAAATTAGACAAGGTGATTATGATAGGTTGAGGTAGATTCTCTGATTGTAACAAATGTACCACTCTGGTGCACCAGAGACGTTGATAACGGGGAGGCTATTGAATGTGCTGAGGGAGAGGGTATATGGGAAATCTCTGTACCTTCCTTTCAATTTTCCTGATCTAAAACTACTCTAAAAAATAGACTTAAAACAACAAAAGCACCCCTGAAAGGGATCTCAATTTTTTTTTTTTTTTTAAGTTTCCACCTTCCATCCCAACACCAGTAAAAGGGGCCTCAATTTAATGGATGATGTGGAGCAATTTATGTGCCATGATGTCAATAATGTAAAATGCTGCAGCTGGTATGTAAAAGTCTGGTGGTGCTTCAAAAGGTTAATCATAGTTACCAAAGAACGCAGTAATTCCACTCCTAGGTATACTCACAAAAGTGAAAATAAAAAGGAATGAACTGATGTATCTACAACACGGATGCTAAGTGAAAGCAGCGTTACAAAAGATCACATATTGTATGAGTCCATTTACATGGAATGTCCAGAGTAGGCAAATATACAGATTGGATGAGTTGTTGTTGCGTTGGTGAGGTGAGGGAGGTTGAGGGAAACGGCTACTTTTGGGGTGATGGAAATGTTCTAAAATTGATTGTGGTGATGGTGTGCAACCCCGAATATATCAAAAACCACTGAATTGTCCTCTTTAAAGGCATGAATTATATGGTTTGTGAGTTACATCTCAATCTCAATGTAGCTATTATTTTTTAAAAATGTAGCAGAAATGGGAGGTTGGCTTGAGCCTAAGAGTTTGAGACCAGCCTGGGCAACATACCAAGACAGCTCTATAAAAAATTTAAAAATTAGCCAGGTAAGTGCCTGTAGTCCCAGTTACTTTGGAGTCTGAGGTGGAGGTGGGGGGCTTGAAAAAAAAGTTTAGATTTTACATGAATAGTGCTTCAAAAACACTTTAAGTCTGCTGAGCATGCTACAGACTGGGTGGCTTATAAACAGAAATTTATGTCTCCATTCTGGAAGTCAGAAAGTCTAACAAAAGGCACCAGATTTGCTGTTTGGTGAGGCCTCACTTCATAGTTCACAGATGGTTTTCTCCTTGCTGTGTCCCCAAGTGTTAGATGGGGCAAAGGAGCTCTCCAAAATCTCTTTTATAATGGCATTTATCCTATTCACAAAGGCTCCAATCTCATGACCTAATCATCTCCCAAAGACCTCATATCTCCAAATACCACATAGAGGATTAGGTTCCAACATTTGAATTTTAGGGGGACACAAACATTTGGTCTACAGCACAAACTAAAAAGTCATTTGCAGCAATTTTTGTGAGCATTCATTGAGACGGGCTCTAATGAACGCTTTGTTTTTGTGCTAACTTCTAAATATAAATGTTACAGAAATACATCAGGGAAGTAGAAAACTCCAAATACTAGGTGGTTAAGATGTAGCAGCTTACACTGCTCTAACATACAACAGGGGACTTGGATCATTTTCTACTAGCAATGGGACTTTGGGCCAGATGATACTGAATTCAGAATTTTTCAGCCCATATTATTATGTAATATCCTCAGTGAGGTTTGTGGAACACCACATAATCAACTCGTCTCTAAATTTCTCTAAGAGAAATAAATACGCTTAGAGGAATGAATCAGGACTAAAGAAACCTCACTCCAGCTCAGGTCATATTTGGCCACCAAATCAATTTTAGTATTAAACTTAAAACAATAATGTCAAGGAGCCTTTTAATTTTCAAAACTTTTCATACCTCCAACCTGCAGCTAAGGGGACATATGCTGTACAGGTCAAGTCTCAGCTCTGCTGTATCACCTGTGAAGAAAATACCTACTTGTTTTATAAGGCTGATGTGTGACCCAAAATAAAAAAAATGAGATGATGTGGTATATGAATGATCCAGTAACTGTAAAGCATGATGCAAATACATGTTCATATTATCAGTTTTTTAAAAAGCAAACCTTGTTAATATTTATTATCTTATTTTTAGAACAGAAGAAACACTGAAATAGATGTTTTTGGAGTATCAACATACAATCAAAAACACCAAGTGCAAGAATCCTCCCCATCTCTGATGACTAAAGGGCAGCTATCCAGCTATAGTCTATTTTCCTAAATTTTCTCAGTTCTTTTTCTTCAGATTTTGACAACTGATGTATAACGTCTTCTCCTAAATCTGTGTTATTTGTATCCTGGATCTTTTCGGTAAAGTCATTTTCTTCATCTGAATTTTCGCTTTCCTTTTCTTCTTCCATATCTACATCTTTAGGAATTTCTTCAGCACTTTAACAGAACAAAATATAAACACTATTAAAAATGTTTCTAAACAGTAAATTTCTAATTTGACACCTATGTAAAAATATAATCATACAAAGTAAATGAAGGATCTTGTTACTGAAAAAGTACACTAAAAATTATGGGTTATTTACAAAAGAGCAGGTATATTGACAAAAGTGTAATTTTAAATTATGTACCAAACACTTCAAACACACACATAAGAGATCTCTTTTCTGAAACTTATTTTCAATGTATTTTGCTTGACTTAACAATCCTATAGCCTTTAAATTTATTTGAAAGCTTATGAAATAAAGAAATACAGTGGAAGAATACTCTAAAAAAGGATAAACACAAACCATCCTGTTTCCCAAAACAGAGTATCTACACCTGTCTTAAGAACTGCTTTACCTCTTAGTCTCTTTAGACAGCAGCAATGAATTTACAAACATGGAGCACAGGAAAACAGCAGACGGCAGGACATGGGCTGGAGTGTGAAGAAGCTGGAGTCAAACAGAAAACAAGTGTTGTAGTTAAAAAGGTTATCCTCCACCGCAGTCTGTCCCTACAGTGTCCTCATAGAGTCCCTTTTATTGTAAATGCCAAGAGTGAAACATGAAAAGGCTTTCCCCATATAAAAGCCAAACCACAGAAAAACACATTTCCACTTTCCTACATCTATCCCAACAATCACCCCTATCCTACCCGAGGGTCGAGGACAAAACAATCCCAGATCACAAGGCTAAGTTATTCAGTTTGTTAGTTATTTAGTTTGGCTATCAAAGTTGTATCACATACAAATTACACATTCACTGTGTAAAAACTCCAACTTCAGGTGCTTTAAATGCATTTGATCCGTTTCACATGATGTGCTTTCATAATTACTTACCTCGCTAATTGCAGGTATGTTTTCTGTTAAGGGTAGTTGTACCAGCTCATTCTCTGAAGTTTCATTTAATTTTTCATCCTGCTGTTGCCTGTGTTTTCCCAATATGAAATAAAATGGGGTTGTGGGAAGACTTTCTTCTGCTAGCAGCTATAAGGATTTAAGACAAAGGGAAATTATGTCAGAAAAAAAGAACTGCTTTTGACTTAACAGTAACTACTACAAAATCATAAAAAGTCTGGGATGAAAGGAACTTTACAAATTATCCAGCTAGTATGATTCTCTCATTTCACAGAGAAAGCAACTGAGGCCCAGCACCCCACTTACGAGAAGAGCTAGCAGAGCACATTTAGATGTCAGAATCAAACATGCATTTACCACTGCTTCTTCACCAAATCCCACAGAAATGACAGCAAAAGGGCTTTCAAAGGGCACACACTCACAATGACAGAAAATGAGGGAAAAGGCCTCAACAGTAGTATGCTGGAAGCTGGAAAGCAGGCTGAAGGATGGTATTGAACTTAGTAGAGCTGAGAAAGCACAATTCTAAGCTGCCTGTAGGGAAGGCCAGGAAGCATCCCAATTCATACTACAAAATCCTGCAAATGCCCAGGATTGGGTAATAATAGTAAGCCTGGATGTGGAGTAAAAATGGGACTAGACAAACCAGATAGTCTGGTATAAAGTCTACTTAGAAAGCACCCTGATTCCCACAGCTCCTCCTCAGCCCCAGCAGAGAGCTCTATGTTTTTCGGCTGGGTATGGGTACTGGTGGTGTTATCTTCATATCTACAGTTGTACTTCATGTAGGGAGTTCTCAGAACACTGGCAGGCAGGTCTAAATCGTTCAGGCAAGAATGCAGAAGAATTTTACATGGTTAATTTGACCAGCCTAAGTAAGACCTAAAAATACAGCTGACCTTGGAATAACAAGGGTTTGAATAATACGTCTATGTGGAGTTTCTTCTGTTTTTGCTAGACCTGAGACAGCAAGATCTACCCCTTCTCTTCCTTAGCCAACTTGATGTGAAGATGAGGATGAAGATCTTTGTGATGATCTATTTCCACCTAATGAATAAGTATATTTTTCTCTTCAAGTTTTTTTTTTTTTTTTTTTTTTTGAGATGGAGTTTCGTTCTGTCACCCAGGCTGGGGTGCAGTGGCAGTGGTGTGATCCAGGCTCACTGTAACCTCCACCTCCCAGGTTGAAGTGCCCCCCAAGCAGGTGGAATTACAGGCGTGCACCACCATCCCTGGTTAATTTTTGTGTTTTTAGTTGAGATGGGGTTTTGCCATGCTGGCCAGGCTGGTCTTGAACTCCTGACCCCAAGTGATCCACCTGCCTTAGCCTCCCAAAGTGCTGGGATACAGGCATGAACCACCATGCCCAGCCTCCTTATGATTTTCTTAACATTTTCTTCCTCTCGCTTACTTTATTGTAAGAATACAGTTTATAGTACACATAATACAAATAATTGACTGTTACCGGTAAGGGTTCAGGTTAAGTTTTGGGAAGTCAAAAATTATACACAGATTTTCAATCTCTATGTTGTTCAAGGGTCAATTGTAATGATCTTTGAAATTGTCTCCATAAATTAGCTCAGCTAGTGGTAGCCAGGGGATAAGTTCTGCACAGGCAGAGAACTTCCAAGTGGCTTTTTAACCCATTTTGAAATCCAAAGACAGCCGAGAATCGTCAGAATCTGATGAAAACCTCTAGATGAAAGGCAGCAATCAAAACAAAGCAGGAACAAACAAAAATATGATGGAAACAGACCATGAAAAAGAAAAAAAGATTTGATGATAAAGATGAGGAAATCTTCCAGAAAACAAACAAAAAATAGACAAAACAATAAGAATATTGGAGAACCATTCTAGAAGGTCCAGCACTAAATAATAGGAGTTCTAGAAGAAGAACAGAAAATACACGGAAAGAATTAATTAGCTCCTCATTAGTTCTCTACACAAAACCCAACAAGGGGTCCTATATTTCACTCAGAGAAAAAGTCAAAATTTTTTCAATAAGGCCTACGTAGACTTCCATGTTTAAAATTACAAGCTGCACCCCATGCATGTAATTTTGGGGTAGAAAAATATGGATGTCTTTTTGTCTATTCCTCACCTTGCCATAAATCTTATCACCTTCTATACTCCATATTTTAATTAATGCATGTTGTTTACTGTCTCTTCTGGTGGACTGTGAACACCACAAGTTTACAGACTTGACTACTGTTCTCACTACTGTATCCCAAGTGTCTAGAATGGTCCCTGGCATACAGTAAATAATTAATAAAAAAAAATTGAATGAATCCAATGAAACTTAAAGGAAAATAAACAAGCCAAGCTACAGATAAAGGAACAAGAATATGAATGGTATTGGACTGCTAGTAATACTGGAAATTGTGAAATAATAGGACAATAATGTCAAAGTTCTGAGAGACTGATTTTCAACCTACAACTCTATAATAATCAAGTGAAAGAGAATAAAAACATTTCCAAACATGCAAGGTCTTAAATTGACCTCCAATGCAGTAAAAGAATGCTTCACTAAAGCAGGGGAATGACCAAAGAAAAAAACTATGCCACTAATGCAGTAGAGGTCAAACATATCCCCAGAATGATGGTGAATATAGATCCTAGGATGACTGCTGTGTAGCAGGTATCCAAAGCAATCAGTCCAGACTGAAGACAGTCAGAAGGCTCTTGGAAATAAACCTTCATGACTTGAAAGAATATCTAACGTGTCTGAAAATACTGAGAGAAGACTTACACAACTTAGGTGGAATTTGGGGTTAATTACGTGAGAACAGAAAACTAAGCAAATGAGAAAAAAGGCAATCATTAACTCTAGATAAAATAAAAACTTGATCAGAAAAGGAAAAACGATCTGTGTATGACTATATAGCTTGGCTATGAATTGTGTTAACACAGCTATGACAATGACTACTGAACTAACCAATTTAACATTTACCCATATGGGGAAAATTGCGGAACAAGTAGGGAAAGTGTGTGTTGTGTATATGCAGGGAGTGCTGATGTGAAAAAGGGCTAAAAATTCATCTTCGATCAGAGTTAACAGATCTAATTCTGAAAAACCTATAATTAGAAACATAAACATTTCTTAGATTCTTAGAGATTCAGAGTTAAATAAAAACTTCAGCTAAAAGATTTGAGAGTGATAGTTTTTATGGGTAATGGCAGTAGTGTTGGAAAAGTTTTTACTAAAGAGCCTTGCAAAAATATTTGACTAAGTCAGAAGCATATAATTCTGATATTATAAATTAAAACAATTTTAAAAGGGCACTAAAACTTTCAAAAGAGACATATCAGTTTGTAAGCGTTTAAGGCTTTTAATTCCACCTTAGGGCCAAGTGAAATATTTTTCTCATAGCTGACTTCTAAAAGGTAATTGTATCCTTTTAGGGAGGCAATGCAGCCTGCCATGAAAGGCTAAGACATACCTGTTTGCTTGTTGGTGTGAGTTTTTCTTCTGGAGACTTTGTACTGAATGTCAATAAACTCTGAAAAGAGAGATCAATTAATTATGCAAAAGACAAACTGTGGAGTACAAATCTAAATGAGGTGTTAGAGGGTGTTAAAAAACGGGAAGGTCAAATTTTCCATTTTGATTTGACAATGGAAAAGGAATAAAAGATTTAAACCTATTTAATAACTACTATAAGAGTTACAAGATTATGTCTGAGGGATACTTAAGAACTGGTAATGAATAAAAAATATAACTGACAGACCAAACTCAAGCCACCATTTTTTAAATTGCAAATCAAACACTAAAATAAAACAAACAATGAATAATGCACTTTAAAGTATTTTAATTGT